ATGCCATAAGATTACAATTGGTAGTGCTGAAGAACCAAGACCCTCTCATAACTGGTCAGCAGATGCCTCTGTTGGAAATTGCAAATGAATTCAGTTCAAAATAAAATGCTTTCTGAGTCATTCCCTAGAGACTGGAATTCAGCCTTTAAATACACGTGAGAAACCATCAAATGTGAGTCAATAAAACAATGCATGAAAAGCCACTTGTCCTGGCGAGACACTTCTACACCAGCTTTTTAGAAAGTACTTCAGAGGGCTTGCAACAGCACAAATTCCATAGCCAGCATAAAACCAGATTGTGTTAACACTAACCCTTCCTCCTTTTTCTCACCCTGTGCCAATAGGGCGACATTAAATACAATTTCACTTCAATAAATTCACTTATTAAATGAAAAAAAGTTGCTCCATGTAATTTCAAAGCGATGTTTAAAGAATTCTGCAGCTGCACTGCACTTTAGCTATTCCCAAAGCTGAACTGTGAAGCTGTTTGCTACCAAAGGCAGACAATGCCTGCTCTGAAGGAGGGAAGGCAGGGTGGGACTGAGCCCCAGGAGCAGACAATGCAGACGTGCCTGCGCATGAGTGAGGAGTCTTGGCTCCTCACACAGGGCAGGTCAGTCAGCCCTGCCATGGGACCTGAGTCCACCTTAGAACATTGAGCCTCCAAGTCTCACCAGCCAAAGAAAATTAACCAGTTGTAGGCTGACCTTACCTCATCTGTGGGGAAAGGGCAGGAAGAGTTCTTACCCAGAGTTTTATTAGAATTTCACTTAAAGGACAAGCACCACAGTCCATTCCTTCTGACCGATTTGTAAGTTTATGCTTTGGATATTAACTAAGAAATTAATCAACCTCCAGCATCAGTACTGGCTGGGGGATGAACAGATGGAGAGCAGCCCTGCCAAGAAGCACTTGGGGGGGCTGCAGGGAGGAAAGCTGGACACGACCCAGCAATGTGCACTTACAGCCCAGAAAGGCAAACGTGTCCTGGGCTGCCACCCCAGCAGTGAGGGCAGCAGGGCAAGGGAGGGATTCTGCCCCTCTGCTCTGCTGAGACCCCTCCTGCAGTGCTGCATCAGCTCTGGGGTCCCAGCACAGGACGGACAGGGACCAGCTGGAGCAAGTCCCAAGGAGGGACACAGATAATAGTCAGAGGGTTGGAGCACTCCTCCTATGAAGTCATGCTGAGAGAATTGGTGCTGTTCAGCCTGGAGAAGAGAAAAGGCTACAGGGAGTGCTTATGGAGCCTTCCAATATCTGAAAGGAGCCTACAAGAAAATATTTACAAGAACACGTAGTGACAAGACAAAAGTGAATGGCTTCCAGCTTAGGGTAGGTTTAGTTTAGACATTAGGACTTTGCTGTGAGACTGGTGAGACACTGGAACAGGTTGCCCAACCTCTGGAAATGTCCATGGCCAGGATGGATGGGGCTTTGAGCAATCAGGTCTAGTGGAAGCTGTCCCTGCCCATGGCAGGAGCAGTTGGATTTTTAGGGTCTGTTCCAAACCAGGCCATTCTATGATGACTCTGTGATCATAGATTTATCAGATGGAAGCCCTCTGTCTTCATACACTACTAAATCAAAATCCTGTGTAGTGAAATACTCTCATTTACAAAGTCTCTCAGTCTCCATGAGCCAGTTTGCCCCACCCCGAAGAGTTCCTTGAATCTAGAGAGGTTTTTTGTGTAAAGTGCTCACAACACCCTGCCATAACTGAATATGACAGATGTCTTTCAAAACTCCTCTGGATGAACTCTGAAGCATCAGAAAACTGAATCTCCAGAAGAACTTCGCATTTCTATCAGTCCTTGGAATACAGGGCACCTGAAGGCATGGTTGTGTGTGAATGCCTGAGCCAGACAGCCAAGGTCCCCAAGCCATACACAGCAAAAATGAAGCCCCTAATGGAAGGATGCTCAGAAACAGGCTGAGGAGATCCAACTAGGAGTAAAGCACAGAAGAAAACCCTAAACTTTTCTGGATTTAAAAACAAAACCAAAAAATCAGCACCTAAATTCCTTATTAATGTTTCTAGGATAGAGAATGTTACTGAATTTTTCATATCCTGCCCAGCATTTTTAAGTGGAGAACAAATAAACATTTTGTCCCATGCTAAGCAGAAGTCCTTTAGATTGTCACATCTAGCCTATAAATTCTTCAGAGCAAACCTGAATTCCATACTCATGCTAAATCATTACCTAAACTTTCATCAGAAGCTAGCACACACCTTTTTTACAGTCTCAGGGAAAATTGCAACTAAAGCACATTCCAGTTTATTTGGTTGAGCTCTCGGCAGATTATGACTGAAGGTTTTTTAAAGAGTTCATTACATCTTTGCCCTCCTTAAGCAAAGGTTATCACAAAGCTGCCTGGTTGAGTGAATTATGACTACTGGGTGGTCACTACTGCCTGTGATATTAGTTATTACATGTTCAGTGATAAATTTAAATCAGTAGATAACAGGGAGAAATCTCTACCAAGAAGTCCATTATGGAATCTAAAAATAGAGAAATTATAGTTACAGGGAGAAAATGATAAGCTTAATGTATACATGTGCTGAGCAAGCAGATGGTATATTTCAGGAAATTCACAATTCATATCAAAATTAAAAATTTAAACTTAATCCTTCTAAAAATTAAAACTTGCAGGATGAAACAGTTCTTAATGATTTGTTCTTTAATCTAGACTTTTTTAATGTTCATATTCTTCATCTTAAGAGCTGATGCTGTCAGCATTTATTGATTCAGCCTTCTAATAATTACATCATCCTTCCAGCATGTCAGAAACTGTCAAGGTGACTATGATGGCATATGACTGGAGTGTGACTCCAGTGTCACAAAATATTTGTGTCACTGGTTTATCCAGAAACAGACGTATAGCAAATGTCAGAGTGATAAAGAAGAAAAATACTGAGTTTATTAATAATCTGCTATGTAAAATGTTTCATCACTTGCTGTAATGCTGCCAAAATAGCCTTGTCAAGTAATTATTTAAATAGTTTTATTTAAATAAACTAGAGCTCAGTGAAAGTGCTTTGTACAACATCACATCTTCCCAAAACAACACAAGATCTTTCAACATTCAGCTATTTAATTTGATGCTATCTGGAAAAAAAATCCAACCTTCTCCCACAGCTGCAAGGTATCTTTACATTCCTGCATTGACTGCTTGTGTATCTATTGGATTTCTTCTAAAGGTTGTTTTCCTTCAAGCTCAAGCTAAGCCTTATGAAGATACAACTGCATTGGTTACAAACTGCACCAATTTTAATAATTGCATTGTTTTTCCTAAGGGTTGAAATGAGGCAAGAACTACAATAGATTGACTCATTTGATAAATTTAAATAAGTCGTTGCTCAAGGCTTTCAATATCTTGAAGTTATAGTTTTGACCTAAAAGACATGTTTTCTTTCTTTTCAGAAGCAAAAGTCAGTGTTCAAATGATGCTGTCTAATACATCACCATAAACAATGAAAATCAAGCAGTATTAATTATTAAAGTATTAATACATACATTTTGTTAAATAAATTCAAAATCATCTTTTTTTCCCCCTCTCTTTCAAGAACTTTGAAAAGCCACACCCAGACTGACATGACCACCCAGGAATTATGGACTTCTCTCAGTGATGAAATCCAGCAGAGCAGAACTGCAGAACAGCCCTACTCCAAAGAGTAAGGACTTCATGTTAAAGTCTGCAATTTTCCCTCCTAGGGATTTTATTGCAAGAATGACTGGACTGACAGGCTCCTGTGAGGTGATGCTCACTTACAAGCAAGTGCATTTTTGATACTTTACAAATTTCACTTCACACCAACCCCACATTTCCTAAGCTCAGTAATCAGCAGATAGCCCTTTTAGCTGTGGCACGAGCTGTCCGAATGGCCTCGCCCATGCAGAGGCAGAATCCCTTCTCTCCTTCTGCCCACAGCGCCAGCAACAGCTGAGCTGGAGCAGCACTGGGGACTCTGCCCTTCCCTCCTGTGCCCCAAGAGAACCAGGAGCTCCCTGCTCCCACTGCCAGCATGAACCCAGGAACCTCCTTCTCTAGTTCACGTATTTTAGCACCTGATAAAGATGCAACCCCACCAAGCACTCCCTACAAACATCAGTCACCTTTCACTGGTATATTCTTGAAAATTTAGATATTCCTTTTAGCCGACTTGGAGCAGATTTTTCTTGTGAACCATCTCTGAAAACACACAAATGACTATCAGTCACAACACTGACAAGAGACAAGCAAACAGTGAATTCAGCTGGTGGGACAGGTGATGATCAGGATTTAACAGAGGGCTCCATTTTCCTGTAAGCCTGATTTTTCACCACATATAATCAACTCTACTTCAAAATGTGGCAAATTGGCAGATATGGGGGAAGCAGTCAGATAACATTTGTTTGTCATAATATGCCAGAAATTAGTTTACAAACTTGTCTTCAAAATTATGACAAAAAACAATTTCCAATACCATTTCACATTTGCAAGAGGCTTCAATGCATCTTAACTGATGAAGTCCAAGACCTCAGTGAGTTTTGCTTGAATGTGCTATCACATCCTGACAAACACAAAATGCAAGGATAATAAAAGGCCTGGCAAAAGCAGAAAGTCAGGAGAAGGGGCTCTGAGTGATTGTCACAGCACAGCACATGACACAGAGCCAGGCTCTGGACAAGAAGTGATGCAGGCAGGCACACTGGCAATGAGAAGTTAATGCAGCCATGGGAACCACTGCTTGATCTATTCTTGAGGCATACACACACACACAGAATGCAGTTTTAAGATGGCCCTAAATTTCTAGATGATGGCCTTTTCTCTATTAAAGATATCCCTCTGTTACTACAAGTTACCATGCAACTCCAGCTCGTCAATCTTGCTGAATGCAGCTCTCAATGCACAATGACAGCATCTTTTGGAGAGGGAAGTATTTTGTTATTGTTATTGCAATCAATGAAGGCTTAATTCATTTTTCCTTGACTTTCCTGCACTATTATCTGTATTATAATAACAGTCATGAACAGTAAAGATTGGGTTGCATTGTGCCAGCGTGTCTGTACAGAATAATAAAGAAGAAAGTCCTTGCTTTAGAGATCACAGTCTAGTTGGTGAACAAATAGGACAAATGTTATTGCTAAGAAAATAAAACAGTTATAAAAGAGAATTGAGTCATACATTGACATTTCTCTAATCAACGGCAAACAAGAGTGATTTACCCATTAAAAAAGCAGAGAATATGGATTTTAAGGCAAGATTTAGAATCATGAAATCATTAAGATTAGAAAATATCTCCAAAATAAAGCCCAAACCGTAACACAAAGTGACACATCTAATAATTTTTTGAACACTTCCAGAGACAGTAACTCCACCACTTCCCTGGGGAGACTTTTTCAATGCTTAACCACCCTTTCAGTGAAAAAAATTTACCTAATACCCAATCTAAACATCCCCTGGTGCAACTTGAAGCCATTTCTCCTTTTCCTGTTAGCTGTTGCCTGGGAGAAAGGCTGGCTTCCACCTCACCACAGCCTCCTGTCAGGCAGCTGTAGAGTGTGATAAGGACACCCCTGAGCCTCCTTTTCTCCAGGCTGAGCACCCCCAGCTCCCCCAGCTGCTCCTTACCAGACCTGTGCTCCAAACCCTTCCCCAGCTCCACTGCCCTTCTCAGGACACACTGCAGCACCTCAATGTCCTCCTTGCAGTGAGGGGCTCAAAAGTGAGCATGGGATTTGAGCTGTGGCCTCACCATTGCTGAGTGCAGCAGGACAATCATTCCCTGGTCCTGCTGGCCACACTATTGCTGGTACAAGCCAGGATGCCATCAGCCTTCTTGGCCACTTGGGCTCACACTGATCATGGTCAGCTGACTGTGGACCAGCACCCCCAGATCCCTTTCCAGTGGGCATCAGGTTTTTTACAACATATGAAAATTTGGAATATGTTTGTTAACAGCACCCAAAGAGCACTGGTTGAACATGGTACTTGAAATTAGGATGAAAAAAGGAGAGTGAGTAATAAATGCATATGTCTATATAGATGGGAGGGGTGTACCTATTTATATATTATTTTCCGTTATCAAAAAGAGCTACAGTTTGCACAGTTCAAAAAGTGTTTAAAATTACTTTCAAACCAGTCACAATGAATATTTAATGTCTTAATATATCTTGAATGAAATCCTTACCTTATTGGAATCAGGAATATTCTCAGAGCTATGAGGTATAGCAAAAACACTGATCAGATCACAAACTTTTGCATCTGTTTTTTTACTACATACATTTTATTAAAAAATTAGTATTCAATTGAAAAATTCACATTAAAATTCAATTATTCTCTAATTTTTCCCCATACCATTTTTTGGTCACTCAGGGGATAAAAATGGATTTATATAAGACGTGAAAAAAATATCATACTGAATAAATGTACTTGCTAAAATGGACCAAAATTGGCCCCAGCACTTCAATTAGCAGTCTGGTTTTGGCTGTGTAAAAGTATTTCTAAAGGCATTTTCTAGTTTAAAAACTCCAGTGGCCCCTTTATAAGCACTGGCACATGGAAAATGCTCCTGTGTGCCTCCAGTGCAATCATCACCCCGAGCTCATCTGCAAAGCCTGAAGTGTTGCCGGTAGAATTAAACACTCACCTGCACCCACTACTCAGAGCTCAAAACACAAGCAATGTTATATGTGCTACACTTTTAAGGAGGCTCATTCTCCTTTTCAGCCTTCACCACACAAATGTTAGCAGGAGTCACAGGGATGTTTAAAAGGTTAAAAGCTTGAAGTATTTTAATGTCATCTTCCAAATGCTACAAAGATATTTGAAATAAATTGTGGACTAACTCCGAGCTTCTCAACAGATTAGGCAAAATCGGATTTTGATGTCCAAGAGCTGCTGTTGCTGCTGCCATGGCTGGAGTTAGACAAACCTGACAAGTCCAACAGCAGTTGCAGAAAAGGATGAAGATGTTCAGGGTGGCTGGACTGGGTGAAACTAGACTAAAACTAGACCCTTTTAAGTATTTTCTGTGTAGGCTCCCTCTCCAGTTAGCTTGTTCCTCCAACCTTGGGGCATTGGGGTCTGCATTATTCCAATTACATGTGGGGGATTTTCTTCCTCAGCAGTTAAAATACTTGGGGACAGTTCCTTGCCTGGCAAGCACAGGTAATTACTGCCTGTGCCATGATAATGAATATATGTTGTATTAATAAAGCTAAAACCCTTTCCACAAGGCACATATGACAGTCAATCACTTGCAGAAATGGTCAACTTTTGGCCACAAAGGCAATTAAGTAGTAATTAAACATCATGACATACAGACTTTCAAAGTTTTGCCATCATTATGGTTTCCTTACATATCACTTGTAGGTGGAAGCATCTTAAAACTCAAATGTAAACTTTCTTGACCAATGTCAGTTTGGCATCGACTATTTAATTGACTGTTAACAAATTCTTCAAGATATGACTGCTATACAGATATTTTATCTTCCTGTTAATTGGTAATTATACATTGGCAGAAAAATCACTGTTTCTTTCCAATTATTCCAGAACTCAGTGACTATTTAAACTTTGCTAATTAGCAGCGAAGGGCTGTTACATCTTCTGGGCAAATTGTATTTGATAATCCCTATTAAAATATACATGGCAGTAGTTGACTTGTAACAAAGAAAAAAAAAAAGGGAAAAAAAAGTGGCAGTTCAAAGGGTATTAGATACAGCACAAGGCAAACGGGGGCCTATTAAAATTTCCCCAACTGTTCTAATGAGAATGCCGAGGGTCATTTCTTCCTAGTTTACCATCTGTTTGGTTTCTGGCAAATATCTCTGGTGTGAAGGGAGGGTCCTGGAGCCCATTTGGCTTGTCACAAAATAAACCAGGGATATGCAGCAATTTCTCTAAGTTACAAAACTGCACTTCAAGATCAGTAGCATGTACATAGCTGAAAACTTTTTTTAAGAGCTGTCATTTACCGACTGTTCCTTAATTTTTAGAGCTGTGAGCAAGCACAGAGAGGCAGACTGAGCAGGAGGGATCAATTTTATAGGCTCACCTAACAAGAAAATGCAACAGTTGGCCTTTTTCCATTTCACAATGTTAGTGGGGGATATTTTCCTTTATCTGTCAAAATCTGAAAGCAAAACATTGTCCCAGAAGCATCAGTGTTTGAGTACAACCTGATGCCAAAACCAAGCCTCTGACAGCTCAAAAACACAAATCCCATCCAGGATCAGGAGGAGCCTTGGATGCCTCCAGTGCAGGTCCCAGACCCCTGTGCAGACAGAGTTGGGGTGCACTATCTGAGGAACCCCCTTGGAGATGACACTGGGGGTGTCCCTCAGCCACCTCCACGCTTCTACCTCTGGAGATGAAACCAGCATCAGGTGGCATCACCTACAGCAGCTCTGCCCTGAGTCAAAGGGGATACAGGACCTGGAAACCACTCATTTTCCCAGCTCCCAACCCAGACAGAACCAGATCAAAATGCTCCTTTATAAACTGAGAGGGGGTTTTGGTTGGCTATGCAATCACATGTGTAACCAAAATACCCAGTGAAAGATTATGTGAGGGCTGCTTTAATCCTGTTGAAAGGCAATAGAATAGTAAAAAGCAAAGAGTGTAAGATAATTTAAGTGTCATTATATTATATTATATCTGGTGATTGCTCTTTCCAGGATTTCCTCTAGGAAATGTATTATTCACCATACATCAAATATTAGAAACTATTAATTTTTT